GTCTGTTTTGGCCAGACTAACAGTTTTCTCTTTAAATGACAAAAATAGTCATAATATTACTTGCTTTACTTGCTTCTGCTGCTGTTTTTCTTTGGACTGTCACAAACCTCCTCCTCTGTAGCCTGTGTAGGCTGCTTCCTCTTCTACAGTGAACAGGCAGCCTGTTGATTAATTTGAACACTGCTGCCATCTAGGGACTGGAAACTTGATTTACATTCAAGAGTTTAGGATGAACTGGATTCTGAGCCTTTGTAGGGTTTTTTTTTTGTCTCTTTAAGAACATTCAATGATTGCTGGTGCATTTGGGTTCTTCTCTATTAGTTTGGAGGTTTGCATTAGAAATCAGCTACTAACTAAGTTGTTTCCAGTGTGCCCAGATCCTGTTGACAAGTACCTGGAGGAAACGTCTGTGCGATACATTTCACCCAGAGGATCAGAGCAGTGTAAAGACGCCGTAGCCCACAGAAGAACAGGTGGGTCTGCGTGGGAAACGTCCCGCCCGCCAAGTTTACAGCAGTCCACTGGCAAAAACACCAACTTAATAACAACAAACAGCAATATTTTCCTTCAAAGAGCTCTTTAACTTATGCTGAGATGGTTTCCTAACAGTTTTAAACATGATTCCACTTCATAGGTTCACAGCCGTTCATATGCTGCTCCCCATCAGGATCACATGTGGGCTCTCCCCGAACCAAGCCGAGCCCTCCGGCGCCGCACCGCAAGCGGAAAAGGAGTAATTCATCTGCTGACTGCAAAGAAAAGCAAACCTGTGGTGAGAATGAAAAGGATTACAGCTCAGAGGCGGCTGTTAGAACCGTTATATTAGTGAGGATGTAACACTGATATTATCTCTTATATTAGTGAGAAGGAACGTTTATGTCCATGTAGGACATAAGCGTATAAACCTGAGCAAGGCCAGCCAGTCCTGATGTGTGGAATCAGTGGTATGATATGTATGTAACACCACAGAAGAAGAAATGACGTAATCTGACTTCTATGTTGAGCTCAGCTCAGTGACAGGGAGAGGACAACAGGAAGTAACAATGCAGGGTTTCCCCAGAAATATTGCCAGCCTCGGGGTGCTAAGGCAGTCCACCAGCAACTTTATTGGCTGAAGTTGTTAGATTGTAGAGCAGTAAAGACGGGCAGTGGTTACAGAGGGAATAAAAAAGACTGACCTCACCCTCCCAGTGTGTTCACTTACTCATCATGCTATGGCCTGTTTCAAGAAGCAATAAATCAATTATTCGCATGATAAATTACAACAAATAAACTAGCAAGCCTTAGTCTGCTGAAAGAGAAAACCTGGAGGCCCGCCAGGCTTATAATGCACTGGGGGAAACTGATGTCTGTGCAGAGATGGGATCATTTTCATGTCGGTTCCTTTTCAGATATTCGTCTTCGGGTTCGCGCAGAGTACTGCCAGCACGAGTCGGCCCTCCAAGGGAACATCTTCTCCAACAAGCAGGAGGCGGTGGAGCGGCAGTTTGAGCGCTTCAACCAGGCCAACACCATCCTGAAATCCAGAGACTTGGGCTCCATCATCTGCGACATCAAATTCTCGGAGCTCACCTACCTGGATGCCTTCTGGAGGGACTACATCAACGGCTCACTGCTGGAGGCGCTCAAAGGGGTCTTTATCACGGATTCCCTAAAGCAGGCCGTGGGCCATGAGGCCATCAAACTGCTGGTCAATGTTGACGAGGAGGACTACCTGGCCGGCCGCTGCAAACTGCTGCGCAACCTGGTGGCGAGCGGAGGGAGTCTACGCGTAGGGAACCGAGACGCCGTGTCTTAGACGGACTCTGAGCGGCGGCGGCGGTGGGGGGCAGAGCCGCTGTGCTTCCTGCTTAAAGAATAGCGTGAGATGTGGTTGTATTCTTTGATGTGTGTGCTTGAAGGGACCTTAGGAACCTCAAGCCCATTTATTCCTAAAGAGTTAATCTTATTGGATATCTACTCGGCGCCGTAAGCATCGCATGTGAGGAGACGCGGAGCGGAACCTTCCGGCATCAGTCTGGAGGAACGTCGCCTCCGCTCCGGTTGGGAATAACGTGTGCATTAAGCCTCCTTCCTCATCGTTGTATGTTTGACCTTTCCAGCTGTTTTCTTAACGACACTTTTCACCCCGACTCAAAGTGAAGTTTCTTTCAGTGCAAGATGCTCGTTATAATCAGGTTAATCATTAGAAGTTGTGTTTTACCGTTTTCTTCATCGTTTTCCCAGCAGGCACAGAGCACAGCTGGCTGCCAGCCTCAGATGTTATTTGAATCTGTAATTGTTCCAAACACTACCGATGTTTTGAGGTGTTCCTCTGTGGATCTGATGTACATGACTGATCACATTGGTGCATTTTCAGCCACTGTGTCTTTGATTGAAACGGTAGGAATGAACTCATCATCCTGGTGTAACCAAGTCTGTCACTGATGTCGTTTTATTTTTCTAATTAGAAAACGTCGGACATTCTCAGCCTGTACCTCCTTCCTCCCTCATCCCGTCACTCATGTTACACACAGAGTTTTTTTAAATTGAAACTACACTTAAAAATAAATGAAGACAAATCAGCTGTTTCACATTCCTCTTATCATTTTACTGATTTAAAGACACATTTATTGGCATTCTTGTTGCAGATCTGCAGCTATCAATCAATGGGATTTTTTGAAACATTTTGAGAAATTTCACTTTCAATTTGAGAAAAATAGAACTTTATGTTCTATTTAAATAGCTTTAAATGGGACAGTTTTGTTTACCTCACTGATTTCCACCTGAATAATATGTAGTTGCAACCCTGACCATCGCTACATTTAGAGAGGAAACACGGATGCTTGTCATCCTATCTATGAAGTATGAGGTGGCAGCATCATGTTGTGGGTGTTTTTTGCTGCAGGAGGAACAGGTAATGAAATATATGGAAATATTGGAGCAACATCCAAAGACATCAGCAGGAGGTTAATATAATGAGGAGGCAAGAGGAAATATGGATGAATAGGTTGAGGATTGGGCTTACAAGTCTTAGTAGTGATTTAAATATTGTAGAAAAATGCCCACTGTAAAGAAATGAGAGGTTGAACATGCTTGATAAAATGTAGAAAACATGCATGAGAAAGGAAAAGGCAACAAGCCTTTCAGTAACAATGGTTGCTAAATTAGGGAAGCATCAATCAGAATGTGTAGTTAAAGCACTTATAAAGTACTTAAAAAGCACAAAGTTAGCAGAGAATTTAATTGATTAATATCAAATAAGGGTTTTGAAGATGGGGTGAGTTAAACTTGTGTTTACACTTCTGTCCAATTGGTGGCAGTAATACACAAAGATTATAAGCTACACCCTACAGAAGAAGAAGTATCGCGCGTGTTCAGAAATTACTGTTACCAATAAAAATAATAGTCAGGTTTTCAAAAGAAAACGAAGACAAACAAGGTTGTAAATTTGTAACCCAGTTTTTCTCCAACAGAGCTGGATAAACTAGTGTTTGAGTATGAACCTGTTAGCTTAGTTAGCTCAGCTTCATACTGTTAATCTCCATTTCACCCGCATTTAATCAATGTTGGAAAACATTTACCAAGATATTCACACATTTAACTTGTCCCTGTATCCTGTGCCAACTGAACAACAGATGAGTAAGCAGCAGAGCCAGCCACCCAGCCCAGCCTAACTCCTCCCCGCCCTGTGAAAAAGGTGAGCGACGCTGTGCTCAACATGCTAGGCTAGTTAGCATCATTCCAGGGAGCATGGGGATTTATCTGTCTCTTTGCTCTTTTTATAATCACACAATAAAACTGAAATATTTATTACTGACAGAAATTCAAACAATATTTATAAAATTAACTCCATTTAAAAATAGCAACTGCATACTAAGATGGCTGTCAGTTACAGAGTTCCCAGAAATACGTTACATGCGACCCGTGTTTAGTTTGGGTTTCCAGAATTGTTCTTATAAGTTCAGAAATCTGCTGTTTTCACTACTTTCAGATGATATTAAAGTTTTAAGTGTAACGTTATACTTGTTAGAAGTTATAGTTTTATGTTTTATAGTAATCTAACACAGATACTTAAAAATGTCTGGTTTTTATATTTCAGGAATGTTTAGAGAATTTTTCATTTTTAATGTGCAATAAGAAAATAGAGACTAAGATATGGCCTTTATCACATTTTTAAAGTCTAATTTTAATCTTGTTTCAAATAGTAAATTCCATACTGTGTGGACTATTGCTTGTATAATTTCCTATCGGTAAATACATTGTTATTATCAATATTGGACCAAAGGAAGCAAGACAGTTTGCAAGCCTTTAGAGTTAGTTATGTAATGCTTTAGATCAGCCACCAGGGGGCGACATTTTAACACAAATTTGCTGCTTTCTGTTTAAAAACGGTGAGCATTTCCATATTAGTCTTTTATTTAGCACCAACTACCATGTCTTTTTTTTAAAACAACAACAAACAAATTAGATTAATGTATTATTTGGCTAAACAGTATCTGTTTAGTTAAAGTGGACGATGCATCAGCAACACAGCAGCATCCTTCAGTCAGGACATAAAACAGCTGCAAAAACATCTGGGACTTTTAAAGGCTTTGACGTAATGCAGCTGCTGCATCGTTACTAATATACACTGAAAGATGTATAGCTCTTCACTTTGCTCCATTTTCTGATCCACAAAGGAAGTCATGCGAAATAAACCGGGGTTATTCATCAAGAGATCTTTAAGTATCTCGCTTTTCACCTGATCCTCAAGAAAAATTCAAAAGTCATAGAAAAGAGGTCCAGGCAAATCATACCACTCAGTTTTATTCAGATTTTAAAGTCCTTAAGGAAAGAAATAATCTGTCCAACATAAAAGATCCCAATAACCAAATTTATATTTGAAGAATTTTATAGAGATGAGAAGAAAAAAAATCACTTTGAGTTAATTTCATGAACAGAAGTAGCAAATTAAAAGTGCACAGCTGAATTTGACTTGAACAGTAACTCAGATGAAGCCTGAGATGTTCTTGGCTGCCTCAGAGATCCCGGGAACAAACGAATGGCCTGCTGTATGTGCACGGCATGTCGTTCCAGTAGTCTCCTGTTTTGGGGATTTTTTGGGAAAAAATGAGCAGTCATTTTAGTGTTTGACTTACGAATGATCCACCAGTTTTATCAGCAAACAGGAGATTAAATAAACAATTTAAAGGCAAGTAAATATTTGTTTACCTCCATAGTTTATTTCCAGGCAGTGCTGATTTCCTCCAGAGTTGTCTGGCTGGTTGCTGTACCAGTGCGCATACTCAAAGCTGGATCCATCGCTCCACAGCCATCTTCTCTCCTGATAACAAAGATCAGCATATAAAATTCAACAAAATGTAGTGACAACACAACAATGAAGACCAGTTTATTTTTCACTGACTGCAGGATCTGCACCAAACTCTGAGTGTCTGTAAGACTTACATCGACGGCGTCATGGCCTCCGATCCAGGTATTACGAGAACCGGAGGCTCTGTTGATCATGTCACTGACAAAGGTGTTTTCATCAGAGCTGTGGATCGATGCCAGGTTCCCTCCAATAGAAATGCAGAATTTCTGAAAGGCAAAGGATCGGATGTGGTTGAGTGAAAGAAATTAAGTTAAGAACACATATCTAAATAGATTTTGTCTATGATGGCGTAATAGGGGTAGAAAAAAGAGCAAGGAAGTACATTTCTGCCAGAAAACTAAGACATTTTGAGGTTCATTTTTGAAATTTTCTAGAAAGTAAACTGGAAATTTTTGAGCTCCAAAAGTAGAACATGTGGGAGAAAAAACACACAAACTAATCTCAGAGATTTTCTAGAAAAAACTTGGACTCTGCTCACATTTCTATAATGGAGCCTGCAAGAGCTCTTGGGCCAAGAAGTTTTTTTAGGCCAAAATTTTTATATGCAAATAAAATCTTCATAAAATAATGTTTGGTACAACATAAATTGTTTCTCATTCATGAAGCCTTTTTTCATGAAGATGTTTTCAGTAAAACCACAAACTCACCATGCTTTCTACTTAAAGCCTACATTGATGCTGGACGTTTTGTGGCCAATTCGCACTTTGAACTTCACAGTTTTGGCCCCAAAATGTTTGAATTGATGTAAACAATAATTCTTCCTTACACACGTTTAGTTTTGGAGTTCTCCAGGGTTTTGTGTTTGATCACATATTTTTCATGAATTTTTCTGTTAACTGTGTCATTCATAAATGTACATCCGTACGCAGATGATACCAAGTTCTCTTTATAATCACAAACTCTCAGAAACTAGCAATTAATCTACACAGCTGGTTTGATAAAAAAGGAAGGCCTGAATCATTTGAAATTTTGCTGTTAATTTTAGGATGTAAGCATAAAAGAAGCGTAATATGTAATTATTTATTCTGGATAGATTAGTTTTAAAAGTCTGGAAGAGGGATAATGTGTTTTTCTCAGGGTATTAGGAAAACTCCACTGTGGTTCATTTGGTGCTCAAAGTTTCCAGTTCCATTGTTTTCAGTTAACCTTGAGATTTACAAACCATGAAAGGCTTCTGGTTTGTTTTTTCTGTTCTTCCTGATAGCATATCTGAAGATTTGCAACAGTATGAGGTTGAAGTCGGATGTTTTTTTGTGACAACATCCTGATTCATGCAAGCAGCTGCTGATTCGATTCACCAAACTGGTTTCCTTCCTCATTCAGCACCAGAAGAATCTGTTATTCCTCCAACAGTAAGCTAGCTGAGTTTTGTCCTCTACCTCTGCATCAGACCATTTCCTGGACTGGTAATAGAAAATGAAGCAGCGAGATCCAAACTGTGTCCAACCCGACGGACAGCGAGCAGGACAGTCAGCTGCAACAGAATGGTGACAGACAGAAGAAGACGTCAGGGGAGTAGAAATTAGTTGCTCGTATTCTGCAATAGCCAGTTATCACAATGCTTACCGTTTTATTACTTATGACGGAGACATAAGGAATGTTTTTATGTCTCAGTAAATATTTTACTGAGCTAAAATATTTGGGTTTATTTCATAGAAATGATCATTCATGTCTTGTCTAGTTTAATCTCTTCATAGCTTTTTTTTTCAACAAAGTCCAGCTTTCATGAGAGACTTACGTTTTCTGACATTTTCTGCCTGTCTCTCTCCTGTTCTTTTAGAAATATGGAGCATTTTTCTCAGAGTTAGACGTTTTTGAGTTTTCTGAAAATGTTTTTCAAATTTTGGAACCAAACTTATGGAGTCCCCAAAAAGACATTCAAGTAAAAAAAAAACACAAACTTTCCTGATACGGTCTGCTGTGCACCCCATACTAACTCATGCACACCAGATACTAACATGTGGTGAGCAACAGACAGTATCTGGACAGTTTGTTTTTAATTGTTTTTACTCAAGTGTCCCCTTAGGAGGTCCCCTTAATTTAAAGCACAAATTGAATGATGGAAAGTCATACTTTTTGCTTTTCTGTTTGCTGTTTTCTGTTGCTTTTTGTTTTTGAAATGTATTTTAAAAGTAAAGCTCAGTCCAGTACTGCAGGGGAGGAAGGAGAAGCACCAACCTGCCTTCTCCTGGCCGTCACTTTGAGCAGGCGCCTGTGAAACAGAAACACAAAGTTGGAACCAGAAACCCGTTGGATCTCATGTCTCATTCTCGTCCAAAGTTTCTCCTCCTTCTGTCATTTTCTCCACATCTTAAAGTGTTAAAACTGAAATAATCACAGCTGATTTTACTCACAGCTCTAACAGTCAAGAGGCCGATGATGGAGCCGAGGAGGAACACCAACTGAAAGCCAGACGCCATCTGAGGAGAGACATTAAAGCTAAATAAAAACACGAATCCATCCTGAACATCAGAGACTGTCTGGCTGCTAAACAGCTTCAGTTCAACAGAAGAAGAAAAATATCATTACAAAATGAAGCTGCTGTCAGATGTTACCTTTGCTGCGTTAAATCCTGACAGACGATCCCAGTTTGGAGAACAGACCTTAAATAGCCAGTTGATGCTGGAATGCAGAACCCAGGATGACATTTCATGTTTTATTCCTGTAACGAGGAAGCATGTTGCTGTTACAGGAACTCCTGTCAAGAAGCATTTCTTGACATGCGACATATTTTATAAAGCAGCAAACAAACACATCGGTTAATATCTTTAAGTTCTTTATTTATGGAGATAAATTAGTTCTTGATGTGTGAACTTCTATCAACAGTAATGTTCTGTTTGCAAACTAAAGAGTCCAAATACTGACAGGCTGAATGATATTAACCTGGTTTTGAACCTCCGACATACAGGATACAACGGCTGGTGGAGGACATGTTTCAGTTCTTTCCTGGATGCATAATGATGTTTTAGATATAAAGTCTGAGGAGGAATATTCAGAGGATTTGGAAAAAAGCTAAAATGTTTTATTTTTTTGTCGGATCAGAGCTAAGTCTGTTTCAACAGGAAGTACTTTTACAGCAGCCCAACTGTAACCATGGCGACAGCTACTCGGCTTTTAGGCTGCAGTAAGGAAGTACTGGCTCGGTCAGGAATGAAACAAATGTTTTCAAATCTGTGAAAAATAAAACTTAATTGTTGTGTCTCTAGTTTCAAGGCTACAGACTCATCAGTTTCTGCAGAAAAGCAGCTCTGGTCTGTCAGGGCAGATTAACCAACGGGTTATTTGGTTTCTGAAGCTCCTCATGCGCAACATTTATATCACTCAAGTTTTTATTATTGATTTACTTCATTTCTCTTATTTAACCAGGTTTTGGTTAAATTGAGATCCAGACCTCATTTGCAAGAAAATCTCCAACTCACAGCAACCTGGTTTCACGAAAGTAAAACAAATTAAACCATATAGAAAAGTTTAAAACAAATTACAAAACAAAATGTATCTGGAGTCATGATGTTCTTTATGTTTAATTGTTATCTCAGGAAAAGATAACGCTGCAGAGAACATCACCTCCACTGACGCTTCCACCCAGGAATCAGAGTTAAAAATTTGAAGATGGGATTTTAAAAACAAATCTGCAACAAAATCACCTGTCAGACCTGATCTGCAGCTTCCTGTTGCTGCAGGAAAACTGTTCATGTGAAACGTTTCTCTGCCATGAAAACATCATGAAATCTGTGTAAGTTGGATCTGCACAGTTTACCACTGATGACAGATTCATTTAAATCAACTGTTGGAGTCACTGATGAGAAAAAAATATAAAAAATGGTTCACAGCAAGAAAATGTGCAGAAGAAAATGTTTAAATCAGAATCTAGAAGGGAAACTGTTTCCTGTCAATATTAACATAATATCTATACATAAAGAAGAGCAGATGCAGTAAAACCTGATGCTCATAATGGCTAAAAATGCCAAACAAAATGTTATAAGAGACTGAAGGAAACCTGAGGAGTCACATATTCAGAATAAACATGTTAACATGATTTTATCAACCGGTTTGTTCTGAAATGTGACAATTATTACATAATACAGGAACACGCTGTGGAATGAGTTTGGATTAACAAAAATATTTACATGTTAAATGTTTTCAGAATGACATTTTTTAAGTTTCTTCAAATTGATGCATTCACACCTCTGGTGTTTGGCAACACTTCTTTAAACTGCTCACACACACATTTCCAGCTCTGCCTGTCAGACGGATCAGGAGTCCATGATGAAGTCACCAAATCCGACACCTGGTTGTCTTTAAACCAGTGTAACAAACCTGTTGGTATGCTGTGGGTTAGTGTTCATTCACGGCCCATTTATCCTCAGACTTCCTGGTTCAATAGTTCAATATCTTACTGCTACCTACTTCCTGCAGGAAAACACCAGCCTAAATAAATCCACCATTTAAAATTTAGATTCGTTTTCCTTCTCAGGTATAATTTATCAGATAAAAATATTATTTGGGAATCTCAAATTTGAAATTGTGATTGAAAAAAGCTTAAATGTGATGTTTGTGATGCAACTCATTCTAAACCCAACAGTAAATGATAGAAACAGTCTGCTGAGAAGATAATATGTTTATTTGTGTTTAAACTGCAGTAAATTCAGGTGGGAGGAAATGTCTCCAAAAAGTTACATTATTAGGGCTCAAAAATGCGGATGAGACGTTTGGAGTCCAACAGAGACGCAGCTACGGATGTCTTTTACAGATGAAGGCGTTATTCCTGTCGCACACGACATCGCTGACACAGTCTTGTTCTGAAGCAGGACAAAAAAATTAAACTATCACATATTTCTCTTTTCTAACAGGAAATGCTACAAATATGGAATAGGGCCACTGAAAAGGAAAAATAATTCTGACATTTTTACAGAATTTTAACTTTAATCTTCTGAGCTCAGAAGTCAAAATTCTTATTAAAAAGTCAGAATTCCTTTTTTCTTCCATTGGTTCTAATCTTTTAAGTCCAACAGGTTTTATGTTGGGTGAAAATAAGCTTTTAATAAAAGCAATGCAGCATAGTAAATGTAATGAAGTTTATTGCGTATAAAGCTGCATGCTGAGGAGTTTTGTCTCGTACCGTTGACGTTGATCTCCATGCAGTTCTCTGTGTTCAGGTTGTTTGGTTCTCCGGAGCCCCACATGGTGAAGTCGTTCCTGGAGCCATCGCTCCACTGCCAAGTCCCTTCCTGAGGGAAACGCTTCACGTTGTTAACACGCTCCAGGCCAGCTCACATCTAATACCACTAATCATGGCTGGGAATGTTAGATTTTGTTTCAGAGTAAGAGCTGCCCTGACTTCTACTGCATCGTATCCTCCAACCCAGGCCCTTCTGTTGTTTCCTGCTACATGGAAGATGAAGTTCCTGATGAAAGCGTACTCCTCTTGGCTGTGGATGGAGGCCAGGTTTCCACCATGGCTGATGCAGTATTGCTGAAGAGGAAGATCAGATGCAGATGAACCAACGCACCGTGTGCATCAACAGACCGAAGGACGATTCAGTCTGTTGAAATCATAAAACAATAGAAACAATACAGACAATGGCAAAGAATAAAACGGAGACATTTGCCTTCCTAAATGGAAACAACTGAGATCAAGAATTGAAGACTTTTAACTAGCAACATTTTGAAAAGTTATTAATTTTCATGTGATGATGTTTATGTCATTTTATTTTGAGATCTGTGTATCTGCAGTCCGCTTAGCGAAAAGTCATTCATGTGTACTACAAATACTTCATTCTAGAAATGAGGCAGTGTACTAGAAGTTTACATGTATAAACTACATTTGATATAGTTAAGAATAGTAGAGTGATGTAAACTTGGTTTATACTGGAAAGTATGAAGAGAAGTCCAAGATTAAGCACTAAACTTATATTTTAATGCTAAAGTGTATACTTGTGCTTTGTTATAGGCTAGTTATTACTCATTTCTGATTCTTATAATAACTATATATTTATATGGAATAAGGTTAAGTCATTGACTCATGCTACATTTAATGTGGCAGAATAAGTTTTTACACCAACACGTTTGCTTTGAGGCATTACCGTTATAAACTTAAATATTCAGTATCATATGGCGCTTAAATGCAGTAGATAATAATATGTGCTTAACTGCATTAACTTTATGTACATTAACAAAACAGAAACAGGAAAACACTTGATTTTATTAGTCAGGTTTGAGTCCCTGTCACTCTTGTGGAATACTTTAAATACACGCCAATAAACTGAAATATGAACCACTAATATTGCAGATGTAAAAGTTTACTTTGTTATAAACTTTAAAATGCCCCAATTTAATCCAAAGAAGAATTAAATTTGAATATTTCATGAATATATATGCTACAAGTACATGGTCCGTAGCCAGAGTTGCGTTAATTAACTAGTTACTACTGAACTCTGACCTTTGTTGAAAAAATGCAATTGAGTAATTTTATTATGAAGTATTTTTACTCTTCAGTAAAATTTCTGGATTTTCTACCCATTGAATGAAAAGCAAACATGTTTTAACCAAAAATTCACCGAACACAGACACACACTTGCAGTTTTTATTAAAGTTTCATAAGTTTTTATAATTTAATTTGGAAAAATTATTTATTTGGCCTGATTTTATTTTTTGTTACTTATATGAATTATTGTCATTTTTGTTTTTAAAATACCAAAACTTCCACTTAACTTTATATTTTGGACCATCTTTTAAATATTAAATGATTGATAATTTGATCAGTTTTTTATTTTTACCAAATACTTTTTTACTCTTGAGTAATTTCTTGGATGACTACTTTTTACTTACTGAAGTAAAAATGTGGTGAAGTAGTGCTACTCTTACTTCAGTATAATTTTTGGTACTTTGCGCACAAATGAAGAAATGAAGCGGAGGGATCAGCTCTGGGACCGATTGGTAGTGACTCCATCCTCCACTAGGGGGCTCTCGCGCTCTGTCCTCATCGCATTAAACTGAAGCATGAGGGAAGTGCAGAAGCTCTCCAGACAAATATTTCTATTCACATTATAAAAATCAACCAGGAAGGCCCTATAACATTTTTGTAATACTTTGGTGATATTTTTATTAATTTTCTCAGGTAAACTACCAGGGCTTCATAGTTATTAGAGAGTTTATATAACACCGTTTGAACTTTAAATGCCAGGATAAAAATCCATCTACACAGGCTTAAATATTTGTTCCTGTGTCTCCGAGTCCCTGCTGAGCTCTAACAGAGGATTAAAGCTCAGACTGACTCATAACAGGAACCAACTCCCATCAACATAAAGGGTGCCATACCTCAGCCTCGGCCCAGTCCAGTTCAGTACCAACAAACAGGTAACAGCGGTCCTGGAACCACGTCCAACCAAGAGGGCAAATGTTGCAAAACAGTCCTGATGATGAACATGTTCAAAAGAAATGTGATGATGCAACACGGCAGCATCACTAAATCATTTCTAAACAAATGGATTTATATTGAATGTAATAATATTTTTGCTAAAACTGAGCAAAACAATGACACATAGGCTCAGATCAAAGATTATTTCCCCAGCATGTGACACAGATTTACTTCTGGTCACATGGCGCCATGTGACCTCTGACCTTATATATCAGAACCTGAGTGAAGTTACAGCCCACTTTATTCAAATCTAACAGAGATGGTGTCAATGAACTGTGCTCCATCTGGGCTGGTCAGCCCCCCTCACTACCCAAACCTACAAACATTCCTATTACATTTTTCTTAATATCTTTAAAATGAACAAAAAAATATTTGCACAAACTTAGTACAAATGTTTGACACCAATTTTGTTAGATTGAACTTT